GCCCCTGGGCGAGTCCAGGACCCCGTGGAGGTCAGAATCCGCGGGAGGTGGGCAGCTCGCCGCGGTCTCCGGGCGCCCAGGCTTACACCATCTCCTTTCCTATTCCCAGGGTGGGCTCAGGGTGGGGGTGGAAGTTATCGGCTCCATTTACAGGAGAAGAAACAGCGAATTGACTCGCCCAGAGTCTTGGGACTGGTAAGTGCCCCAGGCTGCATTCAATCCTAGAACAGGCCCTACACCAAAGCACTCCTTCCCTTTCCACAGTTACAAGGCCATTTACGGGGGAGGCCGGGAGGAGGAGGCCTGGGGGCGTCATCTTCTTATGTTTGCACCTGTCCATCCGTTCGTTCAACAGGTGCTTCATGCCAGCCGCTGTGCCCAGCACCAGCCAGTTCAGCAGTTAGGCGAGCCACCCGCTCCCCGCGGGACCTCATGGAGTTTATCACCAAAGCCCTTACAGGTAATCCTCACTTTATAAGAACTCCTACTCGCCTAATGGACTATGACACACTCCCAGCGTGATACTAAGGCCTGGCCATTGGGAAACAATTGGAACTGCCCATGGACACGTGGATTGAAGAATGCTGAGGACTTACCCCACAACAATAGGGCAAGGTAGGTGCCATTACTATCACCATTTAACAGATGAGAAAACTGAGGTTTGAGACAGAAGTTAAGTCACCACAGCTGGAGCAGTGAAGACTCAGTTACAGCCCCAGGTAGGAGACAACACTCAGCAAGCTGCGTGTACTATCCTTCAAGTGCAGTATATGCTCCAAACCAAGTTGCATGAAACCAGGAAACAGTAGAAGGGAAACTGAAAGTGTTGTCTCCCACAAGTAAGCCTTACCACACACTTTCGAAATCAGTGCTTCCTGCTACTATGACATCATTGGCTCTGTTCCCACTGGAGGACATATCCTTTCTCAAACAGGAACTTGAAACTGCATCTGGATATTGCAGGTACATGATGCCATCAAGTCATCAAGAAAATAAGGTAAGTCCTGACAGGTTTGGCTCAGTGGATAGAGCGTCGGCCTGAGGACTGAAGAGTCCTGGGTTCTAATAGTTTGGGGGGTTTTTTTGGTGGAGTCTTTTGGAAAAAAATTTTTTAATATACTTTTTTTTTATTTCAGAGAAGAAGGGAGAGGGAGAGAGCGACAGAAACATCAATGATGAGAGAGAATCATTGACTGGCTACCTCCAGCACGTCCCCCATTAGGGACCAAACCCACAACCTGGACATGTGCCCTGACTGGGAATTGAACTGTGACTTCCTGATTCATAGGGCGACACTCAACCATTGAGCTAAGTCGGCCAGGCTTTTGGTGGAGTCTTTAGGGTTTTCTATACATAAGATCATGTTATCTGCAAACTTCTTCCTTTCTGATTTGGATGCCTTTGATTTCTATTTCTTGCCTAATTGCTCTTGCTAGGACTTCCAGTACTATGCTGAGTAAAAGCATCAAGAGTAGGCACCCTTGTCTTTTTCCTGATGCTAGAGGAAAACCTCTTCCCTTTTATTAAGTACTAGAGGCCTGGTGCACAAAAATTTGTGCACTCAGGGGGTCCCTCAGCCTGGCCTGTGCCCTCTTGCAGTCTGGGACCCCTCGGGAGATGACCACTTGCTGGCTTAGTCCCGCTCCCCGGGGGATTGGGCCTAAGCTGGCAGTCAGTCATCCCTCTGGCATCCAGGGAGCCCTCAGGGGATGTCCACTTGCCAGCAGGGAGCAGACCTAAGCTGCAGTAAGACGTCCTTAGCGCTGCTGAGGAGGCAGGAGATGCTCCCACCACCACCACTGTACTGGCAGTCGTCAGCCTGGCTTGTGGCTGAGCAGAGCTCCCCCTGTCGGAGCGCACTGACCACCAGGGGGCAGCTCCTGCATTGAGCATCTGCCCCCTGGTGGTCAGTGTGTGTCATAGTGACCAGTCATTCCCAGTCGTTCTGCTATTAGGGTCCATTTGCATATTACCCTTTTATTATATAGGATGATGTTAGCTGTGGGCTAGACATATATGTCTTTTATTATGTTGAGGTACATTCCTTTATACATACTATTTGTTTAGAGATTTATCATGAATGTTGAATTTTGTCAAAGGCTCTTTTACATCTATTGAGATTATCATATGTTTCTTTTATCCTCACCTGAGGATATGTTTTTATTTATTTTAAAAGGAGAGAGAGAGAGAAAGAGGGAGACAGACATTGATCAGTTGCCTCCCATACATGCCCCGGCTGGGGATCAAACCCACAATCTTCTGGTGTACAGGACAACGCTCCAACCAATTGGGTCCCCAGCCAGGGCTCATATGGTTTTTATCCTTCATTTTGTTACCATGGTGTATCACACTTATTCATTTGCATATGTTGAGCCATCCTTGCATTCCTTAAATGAACCCCACTTGATTGTGGTGCATGATCCTTTCAATGTATTGTTGAATTCGGTTTGCTAATATTTCATTGAGGATTTTGCATCTATGTTCAGCAGGGATCATTTTCTTTTCTTGTAGTGTCCTGTCTGGCTTTGGTATCAGGGTAATGTTGGCCTTGTAAAATTAGTTTGGAAGAGTTCTCTCCTCTTCTATCTTTGGAAAGATTTTGACAAGGATTAGTGTAAATGTCTTAAGTGTTTGGCAGAATTCATGAGTAAAGCCACCTGGTCCTGGACTTTTTGTTGTTGGGAGGTTTTCGATTACTGATTCAATGTCTTTACTAGTAATTGGTCTGTTTAGATTTCCTTTTCCTTCATCATTCAGTATTGGTAGGTTTTATGTTTCTAGGAATTTTTTTATTTCTCCTAGGTTCTCTAATTTGTTGTATAATTGTTCTTAATTTCTTATGATGCTTAGTATTTCCTTGTTATCAGTTCTAATGTCTCCTCTTTAATTTGGGTTTTGGGTTTTTTGTTTGTTTGTTTTTTTGCCTCTCAGTTTAGTCTGTAAATTTCTCTGTATGTACAAACCATACTGCAATAAAGATTTTTCTTCTACAGTATATCTGTTTGCAAATGTGGGAGTTTCTCCAGGATTTATGCCTAGGTGTATAATTGCTGGATTGTAAGATATATGGTCATATAATTTACCAAATTGCTTTCCAAAATGTAAAAGGGTATACTTCTGTTCCTTCTCTCCCATCTTTTGTGCCATTGCTGTCATATATTTTCTTCTACATATATTATAAACTACAAAGTACATTTTTACTACTTTTGCTTTGAATAGATAATTATCTTTTAAAGAGCTTTTAAAATGAGGAAAATAGCTCTTATATATACTCACATATGTACCATTTCTGGTGCTCTTTATTCCTTGTGTAGATTGAAATTTCCAACTGGTATTGTGTTCCTTTAACTATACCACTTTGTCGAATATTCCTTGTAGTGCACATATGTTAGGGACTATTTCTCCCAGTTTTTAATATATAAAAGGTCTTTATTTTATCTTCATGTTACATACATTTAAAAAAATTTTTTTATTGATTTCAGATGGGAAGGGAGAAGGAGAGAGAGAGATATAGAAACATCAATGAGAGAGACACATTGATTGGCTGTCTCCTGCACGTCAGAGGATCGAGCCCGCAACCCAGGCATATGCCCTGACTGGGAATCAAACCTCTTGGTCCATGGGACAATGCTCAATCTACTAAGCCACACCAGCCAGGCATATTAGATACATTTATTTAATATCCCTCTTTTAGCTAAGTGGCCTTTTCTCAAATAGTGAATAAACTTAAGTTTTTGCTGAAAAGCTTCAGGTGTTATCATTATTGTTAACTTTGTGTTGTTTATCTGTACATGTTATTTGTAATTATTTGATTATTGGATAAATTTATTATGTAATTATTTAAATTCAGTTATTATTAAAGAAAATAAAACACCCAGGCTGGATGAACTGACCAGAATCAAGCTTGGCAATATGATTCATACTTCAACTTTGCTCCTAGGACAGTGCCTGCTAAGCACTCTTGGAATTTTTCATCCATTTCCTGGTTCTGAGTTGCATTGAACAGATTTTTCCAATCACCAACTTCACCTACAACACACACAAAAAAAAGTAGACACAGACACCTGTTAGAATATTTTTTATTTTACCATTTTTCATTGTAGTGTTTCACTTTGAAATGTGAAAATGAACACATGAAAAAAATTAGTCTTCAAAACAAATGTAGCCCTAGCTGGTTTGGCTCAGTGGATAGAGTGTCAGCCTGTGGACTAGAAGGTCTCAGGTTCAATTCCAGTCAAGGGCACATGCTTGGATTGCAGGCTCAATCCCCAGTAGGTGGTGTGCAGGAGGCAGCGGATCAATGACTCTCTCATTATTGATGTTTTTATCACTCTCCCTCTCCCTCTCCCTCCTTTCTCTCTGAAATCAATAAAATATATATACTAGAGGCCCGGTGCACGAAATCCATGCACTGAGGGGAGGTCCCTCAGCCTGGCCTGCGCCCTCTCACAGTCTGGGACCCCTCACTCCTTACCACTTGGCTCGCTGCTCCTTAGCGCTGCCGCGGAGGCGGGAGAGGCTCCTGCCACCGCCGCTGCACTTGCCAGCTGTGAGCCCAGCTTCTGGCTGAGCAGCTCTCCCCCTGTGGGAGTGCACTAACCACCAGGGGGCAGCTCCTGTGTTGAGCATCTGCCTCCTGGTGGTCAGTGCACATCATAGCGACCAGTTGTTCCGGTCGTTCCACCATAATGGTCGCTTAGGCTTTTATTATATAGATTTTAAAAAACAAAATAAATGTAATTCCTTTTGTAAAATTAACAGTATACATTGGGACTTCTCCATCTGTGGTATAGTAGGTGACATGGTTTTTTTTTTTAAATCTTCACTTGAGGATATTTTTTCCATTGCTTTTAGATAGAGTGAAAGAGTGGAAGTGGGGGGGAGGGGGAGGAGTTGAGGGTGTGGGAGAGAGAGAGAAACATCAATGTAAGAGAGACATCTCGATTGGTTGTCTCCTGCAGGCCCCCAACTAGAGCCTGGAATGAACCTGCAACCCAGGTATGTGCCCTTGATTAGAAATCAAACCTGAAACCCTTCCCTGCATGGCTGACACTTTAACCACTGAGCAACACCGGCCAGGGCGGTGACTTGCTTTCTTGATATCACTAAGCGGAACCTTGGCCTCAATGATCTCCCATCTCTATCTCTCTCCCAACACTCAGAACCTAAAATTCTAGTTTCTTGAGAGCCAGTTTTTTCCTCTCTAAAGTATTTTAAATAGCTTAAATATCCTTGAGAAATTAACATTTTACAGCAAGTTTATACTGAAAATTTTGCAAAGAGTGATTATTTGCCTGGGATTAGGATATGTTTTTCTTAATTGCTTTTAAAAGTAAAGGAAGTTGCCCTGACCAGTTTGGTTCAATTGTTTGATCATCAGCAGTTTGATCCCTGCAGGAGACAGCCAATCAATGTTTCTCTCCCTCTCCCTTCCTTTCTCCCTAAACATCAATAAAAATAAGCAAAAAAGTTATATATATATATGTTTAAAAGTAAAGGAAGTTACTTCTTCCTTTAGAATCTTTTGATAATTTGGGTTGAAGTTAAAAGTTCCATGTTGCATAAGCCATTGAAATTTGTGCTCATAAAGAGGGTTTAAAGACGTAAGGAAATGCTTAGATATATGAAGGGAATAAAATAAAACACAAAACTGTTTACAAATGTCATCCACTATATAAAACATCACAGAATAAAGTGGGAGAAATATGCCAAAATGTTAAACCTTCCTGGTGAGAGAAATGGGGATACTTTTTAATGCTTTTTCACATATTTCAGTGCTTTCTGAATTTTCTAAAAGAAATATTATTAAAAATCTTGGTATTGTGTTATTTATTTTAGGATTTTTCTATTCTGAATGCTATTTGATTAACATGTATAGAAAGGTTGTATTTCCCCCCTCCTTAAAGCTAATAAGACTGAGCATAAAAATCAGGACTATGGTCAGGAATGAAACTGAAATCAGTTTTACAATCAATGTTCCATTCACAGTGGATTTTAAAAATAGGCCTTCACTTGAAAAAGTGTAGTTGAGTTAAGCAGACCTAAGTTCAAATCCTGACTCCATCATGTATTAGTTTTTGTGACAATGACAAATTACTATCTCTGCACATGGTGCCCACATTGTAAAATTAAGGATGAAATTTTTTTTTTTTGCTATGAAATTTAAGCCCAGCAAGGTTCTAATGCATGATAGATGCCCAGTAATTGATAGCTGTTGTGGTTATATGGGCTGCCTCTAAATCACATTATACTCTCAATACATATGCAATAAAATAAAACTGGCAATCCTTAAGCTATACTATCATAAATTTCCACAAGCAATTAGAATACTATCATGAAATTTAGTAAAATCATCGGTGCCAGAGACAACGAGTTGCCTATCCAATACTCATTTTCTTCTTCTTCCTTATTAACAAGACCCTCATTTTAATTGGGTAATCGTGTGCCCACCTTAAAAATAAAATCACATTTCCCAGCCAACAAGCGCAGTGAGGAATGGCCAACAAGTGTAAGAAGTCAGCAAGTGAGGCTTCCAGCAAAGCTCTTGAAAGGGGTCTCACTGAGCTGACACACATGACTCTGTCTCTTGCCTTTCCCTTTTCATTTTAATAAAATAATCCTTTAATTTTAATGTAATGGCGGAGCTCTCGTTGCTCCCTTGTCATCACACAAGGTGACGAGCAGAAAGGCGGAAGGAACTCAGTATCTAAGAGATACTGCGGAGCCACCGGTCCCAGCTCTGAACTGCGTCCAGCCTTCTTGTTGACGGGGAGGAAAAGAAAAACCTGTCTCATTTAGGATCAAGTTACAGGGATCCCCTGTTACGTACAAATGGACGGATGTCCTAGAAACCAATGGCACTTTACCTTTGCGGAACAGGAACGGGCCAACAGCCCCGTGCGTTTGCTGGGCCTTTGCTCGCATTGCCTGGAAGGTACTCTGAGCGGAGATAGTTTGAATCTGCTCCCCAGTGAGAGAGAATCCAAAGAACTCGGCGATTTGTTTTATTCCAGCGGCCAGATTCTAAAAACAAAAATGTAAAGGATAACCACCTTTCTATAGGAATCGTGCTGTGAGCAAAGACAGGTTTCTTAGACAGATTGGATTTATTAAGCCTGTTTAACTCAACTGTCTATCTCTCTACTTAGATTTAATTTGATACCTCTGTATAAATAGTCGAGATATCCTTAGACGATATTCTGTATTGGTTTTACTTTATGATTTTAATTTAGAATTCTTATTCCACTACTTAGGATATAAATAATGATAGTAAGTATTAATTAATACGTTAGAATTTTATCTATGATGATAGTCTTTTTTAAAAATTTTATTGTTGTTAATCCTCACCCAAGGATATTTTTCCATTGATTTTTAGGGAGAATGGAAAAAAGAGGGAAATACAGAGAGAAACATCAGTGTGAGAGAAACACATCGATTGGCTGCCTCCTGCACACGTCCAACCAGAGCTTTGGCCAGGAAGGAGCCTGCAACCGAGGTACATGCCCTTGACCGGAATGGAACCTGGGACCCTTCAGTCCGCAGACCGATGCTCTATCCACTGAGCCACACCGGCCAGGGCTGATTCTTCTCTTGGTATAAACCTAGAAGTAAACCACTTCTCATCACCTCCACTGCTGCTTCTGGCCTGAGCCACCATCTTCCCGTGGCTGGACTCCTTCCTGCAGGAGCCGCCTCCTAGTTTTCCCTGTACTTTGCTCCTCTCCAGTCTGTTCTCACACACCAGCCCGAGTGATCCTATTAAAAACATGTCAACTTCTACCACAGGTCTGCTGGACTCCTACAGTGGCTTTCTGTTTCACGCAGAGTGAAAGCCGAAGTCATTTCAATGAACTGCCACGCCATTCCTCACACTGCACCCCACATGGGTGGTGTTCTCACTGGTTAGTGCCCCCTTGTTCACCTCTACTGACCCAGGCACATCTGCTTGCTTCCTGTCCCTTCATCATACAGGAGCTCCTACCTCAGGGCCTTTGCTTCAGTCGATTCTCTCTGCCTGGGAAGCTCTGGCCCAGTTACCCACATGGCTCAATCCATCACTTCCTTCAGATCTTTGCTTAAATCCCATCCTCTCCATGAGGTTTCCCCTGACCATCCTATTTTATCCTGGGATTTGTCTAGCGTCCCCATCCCCTATCCTCAGGCATTTCCAGTGTTTTCTTAGTCAGCTATGCCATTTCCTTTTTCTCACTATCATCCACATTTTTATTTTCATTGTTTATTATTTATCACTCTGTCTTCTTGCCTTCTCCAGGGAGAATGTCAGCTTCTCCAGGGCAGGGAAATTTGTCTGGTCTGCTCACTGATGTATCCCAAGGGCCTAGAACCATGCTGAGCAATCACTCACTGTTTGTGAATAAACAATTAAAAATTACATGGAAAACATAAATCCAAAGTCGAATGCATGTACAATTAAATCTCAGTTAAGACCTACCTATTGTTTTTCTCATTCCTAATTTGGACCATCTATCATAAAAGGAAAATAAAGCAGCAACTGTTAGTTATAAATTGCTAAGCATTATTTTATTTATATTAAATAGTCAACCTAAGCACTTATACGTTATTTGTTTTCCCTAACAGTATACACATATCTGAATATTCTTCTTTCTTTTTCATTGAATACAATATGTGTTCATACATCCAGACATTATATATAAGTGTTCCATGTTGTAGTTTATAATAAATCTTGCTGTAGAATATCAATAATCATAATCTCACCTCTTTCAGGTCCTCATATAATATGAACTTAACATTTTCATTATCAAGATGTTTGTTCCAATTAATTGCAAAGTCAAAATAGCTTCCCCAAGAAACTAAAAACACAAGAAAAAAATCTTAAGGAATTTAAAATAATGGAGGTTAAAATAAAAACTATCTATATTTGATTGAGCTCAAACAAGATGTTTATAAGTTATATTAAATCCCTGCTCCAAAAGAACTGGCATAGCCAGTCTTATTAGATATTTGTTCATTTTATCTTCATAAATAACAACACAACTAAGCAAGTTGTAAAATGGTTTGATAAAAACTGCAAGACATTCATGAATATTTAGGTGAATAAAATAATTCAGAAATAGTGATTGATACATGAAAACTGACAGAGATAATGCCAGAAAGAAATGATGCGACAGATATTATCTAGGTCAGTATTGTCCAAAATTTAAATTACACCTGTAATTTAAATTTTTCTAGTAGCCACATTAAAAAAAAAAGGAATAGGTGGAATTAATTTTAATATTTCATTTTATTTAACCCAGTATACCACAAAATAGTATTACTTCATCATGTAATGGACATAAACATTATTAATGAAACATTACATACTATTTTTGTATTTTAAGTCTTAGAAGCCAGAATACTAAGTTTTTATCAGAATTGCTTGATGTGTGTTTAGACTTCATAAAACATACAGTTGGAAAACAGAGCCACTACTAAAAGAAGGCATTAATTAATCGGCTACTTAATGGCTGTGTGGCCTTTCTATGCCTCTATTTCTTTCTTCATTAAGTGGGGATAATAATAGTATTATCCATATAGGGGTCTTATGAGAATTAGAGTTAAATAACGTGTGTTAATGATAGCATGTAGTGCCTGGCAAGTAGTCACTGCTAAGTAAGTGGTAGCTATTTTACCTGATATTAATCACTAATATATAATAAGAGGTGGTGAATCCTAATCCAGGCCTTCTCATTACTAATCATACACATTTTCCAGTGTATTGAGCTGCCTCCATTAAGCTGAATTTTTTAAGTTCACAAGGCAGAAACTCCCTCCAAGTTATTGCCACCATATCTCATCATAGTCCATCAAATAATTAGGCCAAAAGGATGGATAGGGCAACAAAGATTCCCTAAAATAGAGTTCTCATGGTTGAATGCTCTCTTGTATTATTAATGGGGTAATGTTTCAGACTTGCCTTCACTACCTCCATCCAGACAAACCAAAGCTTTCTTAATGGTGCCTCATAAACATCTCTTGTGCACTTTCTGTTTCTCCAACATCCCAATCCCAATGTTTGATCTTTACTAAGGAGCCAGTGCTGTACCCAGTGTCCATGCATGTGGGATGGCATGGCATTGCTGGGATGATCACCTTTAAAAGCAATCTTCTTGGAGGGACCTGGCAATGATTTCTCCTCAAGGCTCACCTGGCATTAGTTCTTCCTTCTACACTATGAAAACTCAACAGAGCCGCTACTGAAAGAAGGCAGTAGTCAACCTGTGGAAGCAGAGTCACTGCCACTTACAAGCAGGAGGGCCAGTGGCAAGTGATTTAACTTTTTTTATTAGTTTCCTCATTCGTGCAATGGGACCAATACTGCCTTACTTATAGGGTGTTATGGTCTGAAATGAAATCATGGATTTATAACATCTAGTTTAATACCTGGAGCATTAGTAGACACTTCTACAATTGTAGTTATCAATAACCAGAGTAAAACATCAACATGGTCTAACAAAAAATTCATTTCCTTTCTGGTAAACAAATACGTAAGTTGTGGTTACTCGGTGTCATGATTTTATCTGTTTTTGCTTGTTATCGTGTTAGACAGAAACTTAAGGGAAAGGAACTAGAAACACTTTTCTACATGACTCTGTTTTAAGCCTCTTTGTCCCATGTCTATATGGCCACTCAATACTCATAGTCAACATATAAATCGTCTACATTATTTTTAAGAACAGTAATGTACTGTTTGATACACAGAACTAGTGGGGCTATAAAATTTCATTTAAAAGTTATTTTTGGTTCCTGGATCCGCCTTAATCTCCTTTCTTTACCCTAAAACACATTTGAATTTTCGTATTTATGTGATCATCTGTCAAAGTAAGGAGAATTATTTTACCAATCGTCATACCTTGTCCTTTCATGAATTGTCTGAAGAATTCATCCCAAGAGCCATAGCTTGGAATATCAGGGACATCATTGTGGAAATGGAAAAAAGATACTGCAGTATCTTTAGGATTTCGAAATATCACCAGTATCTAGGGAGATAAAACTAAGTTAATTGGTTTAGGTCTATGTTTTGAACTTTGGAAAAGTGAAAGGGTGGGCAAAATCATGTGTCCTTTGTATGCTACATACTTTTGTTAATATGTAGAGAAAGAACGATCGTAAAAAATTGAGGAATTGGAGGTGACAGATGGGGAAGTCTTGGGAGAGGGGAGAAAAGAAAAAGAACATTGATGTTGTAGGACAGTGATTCCCAAAGTGGGCGCTACCGCCCCCTGGTGGGCGCTGCAGCGATCCAGGGGGGCGGTGATGGCCACAGGTGCATTTGTTTTAACTTTTTTTGTATTACCTTTCTATTCTGCGTTCAATAAATAGTTTCATAATTTCAAACTTCAATGTTTCTAATTTACACCTTTCTTTACTATATTTTACAAAAAAGGTAGAAACATTAATACATATATCTTTCTGTTTAATTGCTATTAAAATTTTTAAAAAAATTAATTTCCAGGGGGCGCTGAGTAATATTTTTTCTGGAAAGGGGGCGGTAGGCCAAATAAGTTTGGGAACCACTGTTGTAGGAGAAGATTTTTGCTAATGAGTTAGACAGTAAAGAGGCATACACAGAAGATATAAAAAAGGAATAAAGAGCAAGCTCACAAGCGCATGAGCTAAGAGGTTGAACCCTTAAGCAAAGTAAATATTAAGGACAATGTTTAGAGTTTGGTGTCAGAAGATCAAAGAATGGCAAGCCCACTCTCCAGGGCCCAAGGTGTGATGGGTGATGTAGATGCAGCAGAACTCTGACTTCCCATGTTATGCCTGTCTTCTCTGATGAGGAGTGAATTTGTTCTTTTGAATGAAAAGTGTGAAATGAACATTGTGAAGAGCACATTGAAACCCAAGAGAACCAAATGATTGCAGGAGAATATCTGGCTGCTCTAAGTGAATTTAGTTGGGCTTTCTGGCCTAACGAATTCCATCTCAAGAACTGAGGAAATTGAAGAATACAGTATTGAGCACTGTTAATGGCCACTGAGGAATCTGAGACAACACACAAAAGCTTCCGAGGGCTAGAAATTGGCAGAAATCATTCCAGGTTCAGAAAGGAGGCAGGCATGGATTGGCAAACTGCAGATTTGTGAACCAGACTTTCGTCAGGAGGAAGTTTTCCAGAATTGACTAAATAGATGATTTGGGATCACATACAAGAAGTAGACCACCAGGGGGCACCATGTGTTCTCACAAGTCCTTGTTGACGAACACCAAGCTTTCCTTGGACAGTTTCTAAATTAGTAATTTGTTGCTAATTACTTCTTCTACAAAATGGAAGATTGTAAGCTGAGAGCAGAAGCAATTAAGTATATAGAACTCCTGTGAAAGGAGGCTAAATAATTAAGGTAAACATGCCTGGAGGGGTTTTGAGGCATTTCCCCTGTCCTGACCAGGCCATCGTTTTAATGGTTGATTTAGGTAAAGATATAGAAGCTATACTTATCAGATTTGTAGATGGCATGAAACTGAAAAGGAATCAGGATCTCAAAACACCTTGTCAGTCTAAAGCAAGCATGTCAAATTCATGGCCTGTGGGCCACATGCCTCGTTTATTTGGCTCATGTTAGCTTTTGAGTTTGAGATGCTTGGTCTAAAGAAATACAGGAGCCCTAACCGGTTTGGCTCAGTGGATAGAGCATCAGCCTGCGGACTGAAGGGTCCCGGGTTCGATTCTGGTCAAGGGCATGTATCTTGGTTGTGGGCACATCCCCAGTTGGGGTTTGCAGGAGGCAGCTGATCAATGTTTCTCTCTCATCGATGTTTCTAACTCTCTATCTCTCTCCCTTCCTCTCTGTAAAAAATCAATAAAATATATTTAAAAAAATAAAGAAATACAGGATACAATTGAATAGAGATAAATAAGCTGGGGTCTATATATTTCACCTACCCTTGCCCCCAATCCAAAGACAGCCAATTTTTGTCACTTGAGGGTTTTATATTTGGGGCTTTGGCTAACATTTATTAGTTTCCCTGGCTTGTAGCAGTTTATAATTTTACAAAGCCATAAATTTGAACAGTGAAGGCCAGCTAGATGTGGACAAATCTCCAGCATCAACCACTTCCCTTGGCTCTTTCTTTTCTTTTCCCTTGGCCACTTCCCTTGTATTCCTGTGACAGTGAAACTGTTTCTCTCCAAATCCAAATGTTTTCTAAATCAGAATCCAGACAGCCACTTACTGGAATTCAAACACCTCGTGATGATTGGAGTAGGTGACCTTTTTTGTGTGTTTGTTTTCTAAATATATTTTTATTGATTTCAGAGAGGAAGGGAGAAGAAGAGAGAGCTAGAAACATCAACGAGAGAGAATCATTGATCAGCTGCCTCCTGCACGCCCCCTACTGTGGATGGAGCCCACAACCAGGGCATGTGCCCTCAACCACCATCGAACCTGGGACGCTTCAGTCCCCAAGCCAGTGCTCTATCCACTGAGCCAAACTGGCTAGGGCGGAGTAGATGACCTTTAAGGTATTTTCCAATTCTAAGTTCCTAGGATCCTGTACCCTGGCTACAAGGCACTAATTTTAAGCCTGCACTTCCATAGTGATTTCTTTCCTCCTCCATTATTTCCCTTCTTTCCTGTTACCATTGCAGTTATCTTAGCTGTTTCCCTCCTCCCACTTTCTTTGCTATTATTGCCCTATCCTCTCATTCCTATTTGTGGCATTCAAGAGTTTGAATCCTTATTTTAATTAATTCTCATCTTTGCTCCTGAGACAGAGAAAAGAGGCACCCAGAAATAAGGAATTGGGGAGAGTCAGGTGAAAACAAAAAAGGATTGGATAAAAACTAATAATTATGAGAATAGATCAATACTGTTTAATAAAACAAGTTTTTTTTAAACAAAAAAGAGTAGCCAAAACACCTATAGTAATTTATGTATGACATGAAGTTTGCTATTACATGTGAAATTCAGAAATAAAATCGTTTCAGACTTCAGGTAACTAGTGCTCACCAGATAGAACTAAAGGAACACTTTTGCCTGTTTTTCTAGGTTGTATTCATTTGTTAAACACTAATTATCCTAGTGGGGTTCTGAAATCTCTTCACTATAAAACGGATTTTAAAATATGTATGTTATATATCCTAGCAGAAAATTCCTTTGATTTATGCAACTACAACAGATATATCTGAGGAAAGAAACAACAAAAGAAATGCCCAAATCTTACATGTCATTTATTAAAAGTCTATGATGAGTAACAAATTCATCATATAGCTCAGAAAGCCAATAGCTATACATTAAAAACTTCACACTGAAATACCAGTCGGAAAGGACACTCACCTTAACTTTATTCTTGAAGATGGACCCAGGTAGTTTGTCATAATGGAGATGAGTTGCCAAAATCCTTGGCGATGGAAACTGTTTCATTCTCTTAAAAATATACACAACAAGGTGAAAGTGTGTGCGTGTGCGTGTGCGTGTGCGTGCGTGCGTGTGTGTGTGTGTGTGTATGTGTATAGTGAATCACTCCTAAACTTAGTGAGTGTCTGATAGTAGTTTTAAGCATCACTATTGCGGTGTCTTCTCTTCCTCCTCTTTCTTTTTTTTTTTTTACATGTCTATTTCCTTTGTGCAGATGAGGAGTGGAGAATCATAAATGAATAAATAGTTAAAATCCTCCTTTTGAACTTCCTTGTTGGATACTGCCTATCATTTTTTTAAATATTTACCTTTTCTCACAATCATACCAAATATTTTGTTCAAAAATGCTCATAATCTGCAATCCACTCTTTGCCTGAATTCGTATCTCTTCTACATTCAATGGTATGGGTCCACGTGGTGACTGGGAGTCATAATACTTGATTTATAAAAATTGCACTTTTTAGTCTTAGATGTACTTTTAGGTTCATTTACAATAATCCTCTCAGGTAGATATTGTAACCCTCATTTTAGAGATTAACCACACGCTTTGAGGTTTTGAAGAATCACACAGGTGGTAATTTTCAGATTAAGTTATAGAGTCCTTTTTCCACCATAAAGACATGTGAGAAATGGTAAAGTTCCTAAAAGGATTAGAAAAATATCCAAGGGGCAAACGGGAGGTAATTCTAACAAAACTAGATAAACATATAATAATATGTTCATGAAAATGTTATATAACCAAACAGTAAGCAATGTAAAGACTAGATATAACTACATCTCATTTAAGAAAATATATGTATTTTAGAAAAGTTTTCTGTAAAGTGAATATCTTTTATGTGGAGTTCTATGCAAGTTGCATAGAAAAATATTTATGTTCTTACATATGATAAAATTACAAAAATACAAAAAATGTTTTTAAAATTACCTGGAGGAAAAAAAACATTTCTGATAAGTTACAGATATTCAAAACCCAAATACCATACAGAGTTAAGACATTTTCCAGAAACCCTGGAGCTACAGCCATGTGTCTCACTCACCTTATAGAACATTTTTCATGTTAATTCAGATGCTCTGAAAAGACTCCCTTTTTACAGGGGAAGCTTTCCCTCTTTTTTTTTTTTTTTAATAAGCTGGCTATACTGTATAGACTAGGTTAACAACTCAAATCAGAAAACTTGGGTTCAAATCTTAGCCCTGCCATTTATTACCTCCTTGACCTTAAGCAAGTCTCTACAGTGTTCTCCTTTGTAATATGGTGATAAGGTTATTCTGTAATAAAATGAGATGATCCCTGAAAAGTGCTGGGGATATGGTAAGCACACAATAGCTTACAATAATTGTAAGTATTGTACGTTCTGAACTCAAAACTAAAAGATCCCCCAAACAGAAGAAATCTTTCTTTAATAATTTGCTATAAGTGTAAAGGCTGTTTTATACTAACCTGATATTTTTCTGGGTCCCCACATTCAAGAATTGGGAATTCTGGATATTCATACTTTTTTTTAGAATCAGCAAATATTAATTCACTAATGATGTGAAGAATCCAATTTGAACCTCAAAGAAAAATCAGACAATCAAAGTTCACTAAAGAGCCTTGATATAGTAAAGGCATGTTACGTCAGCATATCCATCATAAAAAGTAAGATCAGCCACCATTCCCTGATGTGTACAGTTGGTTCTTCTGTGTTTAAAATAACCTGGGCTGTGGCAAGAAACAAAGGTTTGTGGAAAACAGCATTTACTTACATTAATATAAAATTCAACTTTTTTTCTCTACATTAATATAAAATTCAACCTATTACTCAGATTTCTCCTTTAACACGAGACAGTATTTCTTTTCTAATTATAACATGTTCATTATAGAAAAATTGTATGCTGTGGCAATGATTGCTTTTATATATCATATGTTATTTTATCTTACATTAATGAATATTTTCAATAGGAGTATATAACTTTGATTTTATAAAATCCCAGCATCAGTTAAGAGAAAGAAAAATGTTAAATGAGTGAGGTTGGCTTTAATAAACAAAGATTAAAATTACGGTTAAAAGAATCAAAAGTAGATGGTGTAAAATTAGATAATTTGGATTCTTAATGTCTTATTGTCCACTGATGAATGACCATTATAAAGCTGGTTTGAGAAACTGGAGGATTGATGCTTGGTCCTGAAAAAGAACCCGTTACACGGAAATCATTACATAAACTATGGACGTGGCCATGGTTTTTCTTCAGTCAAAAATCAGGATGAAAATCTCTACTACAGTCAGTGCTCCATGGCAACCAGACTTTCCTGCATTCGTGTTTCTGTTTCCGGCCCCTCTGTGCATCTCTCTCCTTCTACACCCACCAGCCATCACGTTCATTTCACACACACACCTCCTTCCTCAGATCCTGTGATTTCCAAATCTAGCAGTTTTAGTTACTGACTTGGCAACCTGTGCTCTGACCCCTCTTGGCCCTCTCCTCACTGATTTCTGGCTGGCTTCTTCCCCACCTTTGCCTTGCACCCTGCCCTACCCACGCACTATGTCATGACGAAGTAAACATGAACTGCTATTTACCACACTTTGGATAAGATGCTAGCAGGATGTCATCCCTTCTGGCTTCAAAGGTGTCCAAGGCTTGGAAGGTTTCTGAGGTGCACATGGTGACGGGGTAAGGAATCCCCTGATGGGTGAAAAACAAGCGAGAAAGTGCAGTTTCTTTAGATTTTTCCAAAGCTTCATCAATGTAGTCAATAAATTTTGACTTATCGGCCATGCTGGGTCCCTGTGAATGAACCTGCGCTAAAGGGGCAGTGATAGCTTTTAACGGAGCTGCTCAGGAGGTGGAATAAACGGCTCCTCCCATTCACATGAAAAGGAAGTCATTTAATTCTCATCCAACACCCCTCCCCCAGCCTTTTGAATACCCACCTCTGACAAAAGGCAAACCCCAGGTGCAAAACAGCTGAGGATCAGAGAATATTAGACCAAGGGTTGATTATATTACCATTATAGGCAACTTCCACAATGAAGGTAAGAATGGAATCTGTTAATAGACAATAATATATATTAAATATCTAACAAGTAATTATTTAATTGAATCAGGTATACAATTTTCTTATTAGCAAAAAGCAATTCGTGGAATGAAACCTATCTTCCTCTCCCCCTCCTCTTCCTCTCTCTCTCTCTCTCTCTCTCTCTCTCTCTCTCTC